TTCTAAAAAATTGCATTACTGGTAAAAACTAGCCAAGTCAAATCTTGAACTTCAATTTATCCTAAGATATCTACTCTGTGTAAATAATTCGACTGCTAAAATTTAAGACGTTCTATTTTTAAATAGCATACACTTTTGTAGCAGAAAAAAACAAGAAATTGTGTTTTAAATTTGTTTAAATGTTGTATGCTCTCATGAAAAAAATTCACGATTATCTACAGAACTTGGCACCCATTTAGATCTCAATTCTTTTGTCGGTGAATTTGACAACCACGCATATTCTTAATATTAAACTTGGCTCCCATTTTCACATTTATGTTTTTGATTGGATCTTCTTTACAATCTCACCCTTGTTCATCGGGACACGTTGGTGTAAGATTTTGGTATTAATATGCTTAATATGCCAATTTAAAAAAAAATCCATTTAAAAGAAACATACCTATATTTACATTTTCAATACTGAAAACAACTAGGTACCTACTAGTTAAATAGTGTTACTTCTTCTGTAAAGTATTTTAATAGACAAAGTTTTGAGCGACAAAATAAATAATATCAATTAACTTATTGATCAACGGATTAAAAATCACGTTGAAAATTTTGTATTTAGGTACATATCATAAATATTTTATGACTATACTAGCAGAACCCGCGGCTTCGCCCGCGATCAAACTACGAAAGTATTATTGCAGATATGCCGACCTTCAGATTTAGAAGGAGGATATAGATAGCAGGATACTCTCTAGCTAGGTTCTCTCTCTCGCGTTCTAGGTCTGTTATAGTTGTCACTGCTGTGGCCAGCCGAAATGTTATACATATTTTCCTTTGGATTCGGGATAATTTCCGTTCTGTTCTTTATATCCCACACAGTAAGCGTGCACTTACAGAGAACTTGAGCCATGTTACTCTATTTAAATATATTCAACAACTCAAACATCACCGCCCAGTTTTACCCACTTAGGGGCTGAATTTAAGAAAATCTACAATACATGTTATTTAATTGTACCTATTGAAGAGCATTAATACCAAGTTTCAAGTAATTCTTATCATAAACATTTTTTTCCTCATATAAACAGCACAACCCCCTTTAAGACTTTTAAGGGATGAATTTCGAAAAAAATGATATTTGCTTCGATCAACAATATTACTGTTGGTCGAAGGATATTTGTATTGTTTTAGTGTCCATTTTAATGGTAAATTCCATTTTCCGTGCATCAATTGCTTAGTTTCATACAAACTTTCATCCCCTATTTGACAGCTCTATGGGATGAATTTAAAAAAATCTAAAATACGTATTTGTTTAATTATATTGAAGAGCATTAATACCAAATTTCAAGTAACTCTAATCATAAATAATTGTTTGCCCATATAAACTTTATCGCCTCCTTTCACTCTTATAAGGGATAAATTTCGAAAAAAATATTGAAAATATATTTCTTATTTGTTATATAAAAGCTAAAAACCACGTTCCGTGCATTTCGCGTTAAGAATGACTGAGTTTCATACAATCTTTTATCCCATATTTTACCCCCTCAGGGGATGAATTTTACAAAATCCTTTCTTAGCGGATGCCTATATTATATAAGGAATATGTCCTCCAAATTTCACGTTTCTACGACCAGCGGTTTAGGTTGTGCGTTGATCGATCAGTCAGTCAGTCAGGACAAAGCATTTATGTAATATATATAGATTCTATCTTCATATTATGTATGCTGTTTGTTTTTATTTAGTAAAGGCAAAATGTAATGTGATGGATGTAAAACTTACTTTGTTTAAATAACAATTAGTTTGCAAAAAATACTTCAAATGCAAATTTCGTCCCCGTCCCATTGATTGTATCGCGTGCTCTGTTTAGAGACAATGCATTTACAAATTAATGACAAGTAAAATTTTTTATCACATTACTGCCATAGATACAACAAATATTATGATAGTATGTTATATGTTGCCTAAATATATACATGGCATCTATGAAATAGTAGATTAAGTGTTTAGGTTTTCATTAAAAAGATAATGTTTGTCTATTATACGAGTAGGTATACCTAATTTATATATGTAAATGTTGAGCCTATAAAAAAATATACGCACCTGCATTATCTATACTAATATTATAAAGAAGTAAAGTTGTGAGTTTGTGATACTGTAGGGGGTAATCTCTGGATCTACTGAACCGATTTAGATGAAATTTGGTAAGAAGATAGTTTGAGACCCCTGGGAGGGACATATGATACTTTTTATCCGGGAAATCATCCCTTAAGGAAGTGAAAATGGGGATGAAAGTTTGTATGGGGAATCAAGCGAGGGTGAGTCGCTGTATGAGGTTATACTTGAGTATACTATTCAAATGCGCCCAATTTTATCATAGTAATTATACTATGGTTGGGTCAGTTTTGCCTAGCCTGCCCGTTAAACTTTTACAGAAAATGGTGGAGAATACCTTATGATTTTACCGAGGTGTTTTGATTTGTGTAATCATAAAATCCTTTATTCACCTGTCTTAAAAGTGTAAACATGATTATTGCTGGTGAAAATAAACCATTGTGGTTACTTTAACAGCGTAAAAAGTTAAATAGAATGCTGGTCGACCTCTGGCTCCTCAATTAATAAATACATACATATGTATGTATAATTGTTTCCTCATACAGCGTTCCTACTATGTTAAACGACAACATATAAAGTGGAATCTTCAAGGTCACACATGATACGTATTATTTACTACAATATTTACCACATAATTTAGGTCTTCGCGGAATTGCCAGCCAAGTATATTCTACCTACTGTGTATGTACCTATATTTGAAAGCAGATATATCTCTTGCAGTAAAACTAATCACCAGTCTTCTCACCACGTGTGCCTCTCATTCATTATGACATGGAGTTATTTCAGCGATTGCCCTATGCATGTTTTTGGCAGAGTTCTGGTTGAGATTCTAGCAAAAATAGACTTCATTTTCTTGCATTGATGCGAACTTTGGAGCTTTAACAACCTTTCAGAAATCGATAACAAACATTTTTATTTACCTACATAATTTGTTTATTTAGTTGTTTCAATATGAAAATATTCAAAATAAACTGTTCTATTACCAAAAATAATTATTTCCATTTTCAGTTTGAGTTAAAATTTTTATGTACCATCCAATTTAATCTTATTGTGTGTACAAACATCGATGTACACAAACTTTTACAGTCGTCTGAAATTATAAAAACCAATGCTACACTGCTTCTGCTTCTGTTAAACGATCTTGTACGTCCAACACGTATATAATTTCCTCAATCTTTTATAAAATATTTATACATAAATAGAATGCGGTATTAGGAAAATTCCTATGACGATGTTATGATTTTTACGTTGTATTTTCCTATAGTCTTTATTTAGGTATATCAAATAATTACGACAAATGCTTTATACGTTTAATAAAATTGTGACGAGGTATGCACACCGTTGAATATTTTCATTAGCTTTGTGTTCGAGATTAATAGATGCTAGATCACTGCTGTGCGCGCTCCCACATAAAGCGCGGTCTTGTTTTGTAGTTATACCCACCACTACAAACCATGATCGCGAATTATTTCGGAGCAGCTTAGAAAAGGTCTTTCTTTAATTATTCAAATACATACTAATACTACATACATACTAATATTGTTGCAGAAATTTTATATTTTTTTATATAAAAATCAAACGTGCGATCTTTGGCAAAAATGCAGTCGCTCTTCAGCGATGGTTAATCGTAGTTTGTCAATCTAAATCATTTCACACAAAACTTGGTAATAAATATATATTTTTTTGTATTTTTCTTAACCTATACATATTAAAACAGTTTTCATGTAGGTACCTAAGTTAAAACTTAAATGCATAAATATTTACACCTTTGACAATATACGTATGTATATAGTACAATTACTCTATAGTAACTTTAAATACATAGCTAGATCTATTTATTATACTAGCATTTTTCATTTTGAAATGTATGTACATATCTCAGAAGCTATGTAATATGGGTGTTAATGGGTAAAAACATCTTAGCCTCGGCCCAGGCGGGTCCATTAAAGCGTGGAATGAGAAAATTGCGATACTACATACATTAAGTACGTCTTGTTTCTTCTTGTCGTTTCTGACGTTGCTTAATATCGAATTAAAGATAAATATGATGGGTATCGGTTTGTATTGAAATTTGAAAGCTATAAACATGCTTCTAATGTTAAATAAAGATATTTAAAAAAATATAAAAAAAAATTTCGACATACCTGTTTTATTTTTAAGAAATAAAACAAATAATAAAAAATCTAGGCATCTTGATAACATTCAATTATTTATTTAAGAATTTGTTATTTAAGTCCTACTCGTATACAAAGTACTATTTATAAGACAATAGGTATATTGGAAATCATTCTACACACAATATATTTAGTATAGATTTCTCAGATATGAGATATTTTCCCGCGGTAAAAAGTATTCTATATGTTGACCCGGATAACCAGCTACCATCCTATCAAATTTCATCAAAATCTCTCCAGTGGTTTTTCCATGATGCGGTTACAGACACTCAGACAAAAATTCTTAAAACTATAGATTCGGCCAATGTATCGATAATTTAAAATAAGATAATTTCAATATGATGTTCAAAAATATATTTAATGTACAGATTCGACTCAGAATTTTATTATATGTATAAGTAGATTAGTTTCGAATGCGACAATAGCGATATTGACATTGGTCCTAGCGTCCGCATGGTTTATTTATGTCTGACCATGAGACGGAACAGCCGTTCACTCGCCTAGCTGAAAATACCATCGCAATCTCAAATTCAGAATTTGCCTCATTTATCAAATATAAAATTCGCGTAGTCTTTGTTTACTTTACTTTTTCGTGTTCTTCAAAAGAAAAATAATTATCAAAGTCCGAATCATCAGCCAAGAATCAACTTAGGGATTTAAAGCACGTGCTATATCAATTTGCAATGATAGGGCTTTCCCTCAGGTCGGTACTTGAAAAATGGAACATACCTTTTTGTTCTGGCGGGCGGGAGTGAGTCCCACCTGCGAGCCCATTTCGGCTAAAATATTCTTCGGCATATTGATACACTAAAGTTCACTCGTTTGAAAATTCGCGGGAGCACTGAATAAATGTAACGTGGCATGCGGTTCACGCGCAAACTAGCGAATGATCGCGGGGCTGCGCGCGCGCACTTATAATGCTCGCAACCATGACGTCACCGTACCAGCCTCCTGCACCCTACGATTTAACAACGTAAACATCGCAATATATCAAGCTTTAGTAACTTTTACATTTAGATGGCGAATTTCGTTTGCGATATATTTTGTTGGTTACTAATGATCAATCAAAATTCAAATATTCCCATGAAATATCGAATAATAATGTCATTAATTAGATATTTCATCTTTTCGTTCATTGTGTCTGTTCTCCATTTAGAATTAACCAAATACTATTTTATACCTTATATTTATTTGAAAATATCGCCGTATCTTAATAGCATAATTCAAAATTATAAAAACAAGTAATAAGTATGCTAAATATTGTCTTTTTAAGTGCTTATATCTATGAGCACACTTAAACGGTACTAGAATATATCCTTCACCTATATAATACTTTTAAGGTAATTATAAATAATGATTACGTACGTATGTTTGTATCGGTTTGTCTATCCGTTTGTTCTTGGTAATGTCAAAACTTAACCAAACTTCGTAGGGTACTCATGGAAATACACATCGAGTGATGTAAGCATATCTCTTATCCAGTTATAAATTATGTTATATTAAAGGTGGACAAAAATGCTGTGGCTGGAAAAATAATACCAATCTTCATAAATAAAAATCAATTGCCTAATGTATGTAAAAATAAAAAAAATGGGTTAAAAATAAAACAGTGAATTAACAGATTGACGTTCAGTTGTTCAGTTTCTTCATCATGACAACAATACCTATTTAAAAGAAATTGAGAGTGTTGTCAAAATGTAAGATTTATAATTATCTATACTAATATTATAAAGTGGTAAAGTGTGTGAGTTTGTGAGGCTGCAGGGTATAATCTCTGGATATACTTGTTATCCCGGAAATCATCCCTTAAGAGGGTGAAAATTGGGATAAAAGTTTGTATTCGGAAGCAAGCTAGGGACGAATCCGAGCGAAGCGAGGGCGAGTCGCTAGTTTCTAATAAAATCATATTGGAAATGTTAAAAATTTAGTAGGTACTTATACTCCGAGATTATCAAAATACCCTTTAACGTTATCTGAATGGTATCAATAAAATAAAGATCGACATTATAGGAGTTAAAGCAAAGAGGGGATTGTATCATGCAAGTAACGCATGCATACAATTGTATTGTAAGTATATACCACAGTTCATATAATACTATACTATAACTAAGAAGCTGGTATCTTTGGAGCTGAAAGTTATCTGTTGGGTTTCAGCACTGTTTAAATATCTTTATTATCGTTGAATTTATTCTAATTTAATTATACACACATCAGCACTGTCTTTTTATTGATTCGTGGGGAACCCCCTTTACGGGTGCCCGAGCTCGGGAGCGCGCGTGATATGTGGGACTCCTGCCGCGAGAAGCGCGCCAAACTACCCACTAAAACCACCATGGTGATCCCTATCGCAAGAGACAAGGCCACGGGAACGCTTGCGAATTCGACCGCGAACATCAACACTGTCTAGAGATATTTCACGTTTATTAGCATTACTTTAGAAGTACTAGTAATTTGAAAAAAATTAAACGTCAATTTATTATTATTAAAAACGCAAACTTTACTAGGTATTTTCAAAGTACTATTTTAATTTATATTTGTTCATTTTCTACAGTAAAATATTCGTATATTTGGTAAAAATTACATCAAATCCAATCATACTGATTGCTTTATGGTGATGTGTGAGTGTGGATAAAAATATACTAATATTATAAAGAGACAGTTTGTGACTTTGTGATTTTGTGAGTTTGTGACGTTGTAGGGGTAATTTTTGGATCTACTGAACCGATTTAGATGAAATTTGGTAAAAAGATAGTTTGAGATCCTGGAAAGGACATAGGATACTTTTTATCTCGGAAATTATCCCATAAGGGGTTGAAAATGGGGATGAAAGTTTGTATTGGGAAGCAAGCATGGACGAGCCCGAGCGAAGCGAGAATGAGTCGCTAGTTATAATATATTTTTAGAAGATTTTTAATTTGCTTCATTCGTATGTCTCTCTTTTAGTTTCAAAATGTATTTAAATTCCCTTCTCACTTGTTGGCACCGAAATGGGCATCATTTTGGCATATCTAGATTACTTTGGCGACAATGTCGCAAAATGGCATAATGCAAGTGGTCTGGCAACTAGATTTTTTAAATCGTACAAATTGTTTTATTAAAACATATCTATAACCAGATATATTGGTAGTTTAATTGCGAGGCCACAGAGACGGTATATGCGTTTGGGGTAAGAAGTGTATGTCTATTACCACTTTTCTCGGAAACGGCTATGCCGATTTTGAAACGGTTTTTTGCTTTATAAAAGTCTCATTCCTTTGCATGTTCTTAACATAGTTTTATAATTGCACAGACCGCTAGGCGGCGCTACGGTATACACATGTTTCTCCAAAACGGTTACTTTTTTACTACTCAAGTAAAAATAAGGCAGTTTAATATTTAAATAAGTGTACCTATTGCATTAACTATTAAAGTTTAAAAAGCCACAAATAAATCTACTGGCACGTACTTCTCAATATGTACATCTACTACATAGGTTACGCATGCGGCATGACGTCTGAATAGACGGCAAAATTCGTGGGTTATTGAATTTTTTTATTTGAAGTTTTTATCATGTAACAATTTTCCGTCGTGGGTTTTTTAACTTTTTAATTTATGTTTTATTAAATACTTGAGTTTTACTAGGTACTGATAGTTATTAAAAGTATTATTTTACATTATTGCAAGTGCTAATTTTATAGTTAACAGATACACTTGTGAATCATCTGTTTCCCATGATGAGATGTCTTGTTAATTTGTGACGTTGTATGATTACTTCAGATTTGAATAAGTGTAAAAAATATGAAATACTAAATGGTTAAACTCTTATAAGTGCAATTAGATTTTTACATATTGAAGTCTAACCAATTAAGATTAATGTAACTAGTACCTTTTTAGCTTTTTAGATTTTCCTTATTTAAAGTGCAATTTGAAAAGTATTACCTATAATTTTTAGAACAAATCTTCTTTTTCTTCTTCTCTCTGTCCATTTTCCAATTACTTGGATTCTGCAAAAGTTTTACAACCGACCGCCTGCCTGACATCAACCCTCCTTGGAAATGCTATTGTTTGTCGTGGAAGTCTTGGTAATATCCACATTCGATTTTGTTTTCTTTTAAAACATTTTTTATACTATTACATACTCAAAGTTTTAATGTAATTTTCGGATATATTTTAATAAATTTTAATCACACTTTAAATTTTGTTTTTTTTATTTACTTCTATATATTTTTAGAACAAATATTTACTCAATAGTATAAAGCAACCCCGACATAATCTCGGTGGGTCACAGAGGCGTTTAGTAATGGAGCCTCGAGACCTATTGCCCATAGAGACTACCCTGAACTGACCTAATTCTAAATTATCATTACATAAACGTGTGTAATGAATATTTTATGTCCTCCGAGTGTAATCAACGAATGACCAATTGGCAATTGTTGCAGATACTGCATATACATACGCCAGAACGGCTGATCGAATCTGAATGAAATTTGACACAGATATAGATATAGTCTGGAACAGTGCCGGATTAAGCAAGCGCGGGGCCCGTAGCAAATTCTTTTGAAGAGCCCTTGATCTGCTATGGGTTTTTAAGTATAAAGTGGTAAAAAAAACAATTCAATACTCAATACCTCAGGCTTCAATACGTTTATTTGCCATCTATAGGTTACAATTTTGTGAGTGATTAATAGTACAGTAGATTCCTATAGGCTCTGTTAGGCTCTGACAAGTACAAAAAGCCAGAGATGAGAATTTCTGGCAATTTAGGATGATTTTGATAAGAAACTAACAATTGAAAATTGACGATACTGCACAATTTTTTTTAATAGATATTTCTAAATTCTAATACCTTTAAACGACCAATTTTTGTTTATTTATACCGGCGATCTCGGAAACGGCTCTAACGATTTTGCTGAAATTTGGCATGTGGGGTTTTCGAGAGCAAAAAATCGATCTAGATTAGACTTATGTCTAGGAAAGTGCGTGTTTTCATGCGGTTTTCTTTCGCATTATTCCACGCAAAATATGGTCGCTAATTTCGCACGCTCAGGTATAAGCATCGTGGTCAAGCAACCAAGGCGCAAGATTGCAAATCACAGGTGTCCCGAATCGATTCGAATTCAAATCCCGGTCGGATACAAAGCTTTTACTTTTGTTTTATATTTGTAGTTTTAAAAAAAATGTACTTTTGGCCAAAAACTCCAAGCGAAGCGCAAAGACCCAAGGTATATTTATTTAATACAAAGTGCATTATATTTTTAGAAATAGCTAATTTTATATTTTTAGACCAATCGGAATCCGCTTATTTTTAAGAGAAAAAATATACTACCCCCGAGAAATGGCGGGACGCAAAGCGTTGAAAAATAGTTTTTCTTCTATCGAAAAATGTTTTGTACAAAACTTGTAGGTTTAGTAGAAATCTACAACTTTTATAAATAACACTTTTTACAATAATCTCAAAGTTTTCGAGATATTTGCAAAAAACTCGGGTTTTAACTTAACAAATCATAATAATAATCCGATCATTGGCCGTAATGCGAGGCGCCCTCTGAAACTGCACCTTTTACAAAAAAAGGTAAATACTAAATACAGTTCTTCGTGACATTTCTACAGGCTACAGTACAAAAAATATATTTCATTTTACAAGTAGTTGCTGCCCCGGTGAGGACTCAAAATTGTAGTGCCATCGCATGCAAAAGTTCTGTTCAAACTGTCACCAATTGCGTTTAAAGTCAATTCTAGTTAAAATAAATATACAACAATGTAAATTCAACCTTAAGTGCAAAACTTAACGTTGTTTTCACAAAAAAAAAACTACCGAG